GGAACAAGATGGTCAGAGCAGGGGCTTGGAGGACAGCTGGGGAAGGCCCTGGTGGCCAGGCCCCAAAAGAGGGAGGGCAAGATAGGGCCCTGAGGTAAGCTGGGGTGGGGTGGTGGGGAGGTGTTTCCACAAGAGACCGTGGGAGGGGAGAGTCCCGTGTCAGGTTTCCTGGGGTTGTCAGAGGACCGGAGGGCAGAAAGCGGCTGACCCAACCCCTCCGTCAGTCCACCGTTCCACTCTAGAAGTTCCACAGCGAACAAGTCACACTTGGGATGGAGTATTCAGTTTTCCGGCTTCCCTTGGATGCATTTTCCCCAACAGAAGGTTCTGAGCATCCTGAAGATGTGAAAGGGGAGTATCAAGTTCAGAAGAAGGAAGGGGTGCTCTGGAACCACACACAGAGTGGAGCACAGTTTTGAGAAGGGCTGACCTAGCTGCCTAGTGGTTGGGAAACAAAAGAACGTGGCCATGGACAGAGGGGCAGGTGGATGGTAGAAAGGAAATCTCATACACAGAATTTGGCATATCTCTAGGATGGAATCTTAGTCAGCCTTAAAAATGAATGAAATGCTGACACATGCCACAACATGGATGAGCCTTGAAGAAGTTATGCTAAGTGAAATAAGCCAGTCACAAAGAGACAGATTTTGTAAGATTCCACTTATCTGGGGTACTTAGTCAAGTTCATAAAGACAAAGTAGGATGGTGGTTATGAGAGATTGATGGGAAGGGGGATGGGGAGCTGGTGTTTAACGGGGACAGTTTTAGTTCGGGATGAGGAAGAAGTTCCAGAGACGGACGGCAGTGACTGCTGGTTGCACAACGGTGTACCGTACTTAAACGGCCCTGGTTTGCCCCTTGAAAATGGCTCAAATGGTAACCCTTGGCTTATGTATATTTTACCACAATTAAAAAAAAAGCTAAATCTAGTAAAGCCTTTAGATCAAACTCCCATTTTGTAGTAAATACAGGGGTTAGCAAAACAAGTTAAACGACACCATGAAGACACACTGAGGCCGGGACATTCTACAACAAAACTGGCCTGAACTTCAAAAAGTCAATGTTGTCGGGGGTGGGGGGGGCGGGGAAATAGAATTGTTCTAAATAAAAGAGATCAAAAAAACACAATAACCAAATGTAATGTGTGCACTTAAAACGGACAAACTTAAAAGACATATTTGAAACGGCTGGGAAAGTTTGATATTAGGTAATATTAGGGAATTAATGTTAGCTTTCTTAGGCGTGAATATCCTACCCGTGGTTGTTAGAGAGTATCCTTAGTTTTGGGAGCTACCTGCCAAAATATATTGAAAAACCTGGGGGCAAAGTGGCATAGCATCTGCAATCCACTTTCAAATGATCCAGAAAAAAACAAAAGTCTCATATACCCACCGAAGGGGAGAAAGAAAATACGGCAAAATGGAAAGGACTGTTGAATCCTAGGTGGTGGGTGAACACTGGAGAATTCTTCCCATTTTTGTGTCTGTTGAAATATTCCTAATAAAAAGCTAGGGGAGAGAATGGCTAAAATTAACAAGTCAGGAAACAACCAATGTTGGTGAGGATGTGGAGAAAGGGGAACCCTCTTACACGGCTGGTGGGAATGCAAGCTGATATAGCCACTCTGGAAAACAGTACAGAGGTTCCTCAAAAAGTTAAAAATAGAGCTACCCTATGACCCAGCAATTGCACTACTAGGTATTTATCCAAAGGATACAAGCACAGTGATTCAAAGGTGTGCATGCACCCCAACGTTTACAGCAGCAATGTCCACAATAGCCAAAATATGGAAAGAGCCCAGATGTCCATCGACAGATGAATGGATATAAGGGTGCCTGGGTTGCTCAGTCTGTTAAGTGTCTGCCTTTGGCTCCCGGGGTCCTGGGATTGAGCCCTGGGTCAGGTGCCCTGCTCAGGAGGGAGTCTGCTTCTCCTTCTCCCTGACCCCCACCTGCTTGTGATCTCTCTCTCTCGTGCAAATGAATAAATAAAAATCTTAAATAAAAATATAAATCTTGAATAAAAATCTTAAAATCTTAAAAAAAAAAAGATGTGGTATATGCCTACAATGGAATATTACTCAGCCATCAAAAAGAATGAAACCTTGCCATTTGCAACAATGTGGATGGAACTGGAGAGTATTATGCTGAGCAAAATAAGTCAGTCAGAGAAAGACAAATACCATATGATTTCACTCATACTGGAATTTAAGAAAGAAAACAGATGAACATAGGGGAAGGGAAGAAAAATAAGATAACTGAGAGGGAGGCAAACCCTAAGAGACACTGAACTCTAGAAAACAAACAGGGTTGCTGGAAGGGAGGGGGGTGGGGAGGATGGGGTGACTGGGTGATGGGCATTAAGGAGGGCACTTGATGGAATGAACACTGGGTGTTGAATGCAATTGATGAACCATTAAATTCTACCTCTGTAACTAACAAAAAAATGAATAAATAAAAAGTTGGGGGAGAAAAGTTCTAGCTGCGCGACCTTGGACAGTCTCCCTGCCTCCCTGGCCTTACTTCCTTCAGCTGAAGAACAGGGTCAAAAATACCCCACACAGTTGTCCGGATTGAAAGCGCCAAGCACCTGGCTCAGGGGCCCAGGGGCCCAGGGGCCCAGGGGCCCGGGGGCAGTCGTCATTAGTGTTAACAGACAGTCCCTAGCAGGGTGTCTGGTAGAGTGAGCAGTGGCTTTGAGAAAACCACTTGAGCTCCCGGGCCGGTTTCTCTGCGCCGGGTGTAGGAGGATGGGGAAGCGGCCCCTTAGGGGCCACCTCACTTTGCCAGCCAGGGACGAGTAAAGGCGCAACTGCTAGGGGCCCGGCGGCCGGAGCGCGGGCCACGGAAGTGGGGGCGGGGCTTGCAGGTGGGCGGGCGGGGGAGCTCGAGCCCAAAGGAGTGCGGCCTCTCCGAAGTCGGGGGCGGAGCCTCTCTCTGGCCAGCCAATCGTGGAGCAGATGTCAAAACGGGCGCCGAAGGGAAATAAGAAAGAACCGCAGATAACCCGGCGCCTTTCCAGCTGATTTGGGCCCACCGGCCTGGTCGCGCGCCCTTCTCTCTCCGGTCCCCAGGACTAGAGGGGAGGCTCTGCGGGCCAGAAGCCCTGGTCGGCGGTCTCCTCTGGGAGTGACCTCTGGGCAGAGAGCCACGTAGCTTTCCGCGCCCGCTTCCTCCTGTGCAGTGAGAGCAGTAAAAATCCGTAGGAGGCAAGACGGGGCATGCCCAAGTGACTCAGAGGTGGGAGGCAGTGAAGGGGAGAATGGCGACCTTTCTTTCTGCCTCGTGGTACCACTCGTCTTCCCAAGTTCTCTACCACGCACATGGGTTATTTGGGGAGTCAGGAAAAAGTTAAGCAGAACGCGAAGTCATAAATTCTGGCTAGCTTACAGAGTAATACTTTACGGTTCCTGTACACACAGAGTATAACAGAAGCTAAAAAGCACGTGGTGCCCAAGAGCAACCAGAAGGAGCCCTTCGGTTATTGAGGATGTGAGATAGGAATGTGAATTGGGTACTAGAGGGTACCAAGGAATCCTTGATAATTTTCTTAGACATGATAATGGCTTTATCGGCCATAAAATCATCACTAAAAATGCCCATTTCCTGAAGTTGGATGCTGAAGGAAGGTGAAATTGACCACGTCTGGGAGTTGCTTTAAAACTAAGGATGCCAGACCGAAGTTTTAGTCGTTGCTTTGTCTAAGAGAAATGATTGTCATTAATCTTTCTCTGAGGCTTGAGAATACATTAAACACAGTATGTATGTGGTACTAAGAAAGGCAAGAAACAGACCCATGTGGGGAGGGGATCGTCCCTACCTCCGACCTCTTTATTGTATCTAGAAAAGTCTGTAAAAAGTCCAGTGTTTCTCTTAGGGGCGGCCCTAAGAGTGTTTGCAGATGTTGGAAATTTCCCCGGTGAATCATTAATTTCTCGGATTCTAACATTTCTTTCTCTTCATTCCTGGCATTTTGCCACTTGCAGGGCAAATGTCTGTGGCAAATCTGAAAAACCAAACACAGTAAAATGAAAAGCGCTAATAAAGTCATGTCACCCTCATGACAATGCAGGTTTTCAATCTCCTCTTCAGGCTACTTGATGCCCAATAAGCAGTACATGGATTCCCAGTTCTTCAATCTTTCTGCTCAGTTTCTAATTTTAAAAAATGCTGACACTGGGGACAGTGGCCTGACAGCAGACACAAGTTCAGTGGGAAACTGCACCAAAGGCCCTCCCTGGCATTTACTTAACTCAGCTTTACCATGGACTTTACAAGAATTATCGCATTGACCTCATTTTATTAATAATCCCACAGGGTAGGTCCGGCGACCAGTCCCATTATACCAAGGAGGGCACTGAATCTTTTAGCCAGGTGACACGTCCAAGTGACACAGCAACTACACTGCGGGAGCTGTAGCAGTAGCCAATGGCCCTAACCGTTAGGCAGCACGGTTGTCACCGACCCTCCCACAAATCTGCCGGAACTCGAGGACCCCTAAACCCCCACCCAGGTACACGTATCCAAACGGTCGCAACCCCGCGCTTCTCTCGCAGCCAGGGGCGTTCCCAGGCATTTGCACTAACCTCATTTGCAAAACCACTTGCCCCGACCTGCGAAAACGGTTCAGGGGTGGGGGAATCCTCTCCCGCTCGGGGGCGGCCTCCAATCGCGTTGCTTTATTCAATTCCGAGCGGTTCCCGGATAAGCGAGTCCCGCGCGCTCCACGGCCACCGAGGCGCGCGGGGACTGCAGCCCTTGCCCGGGGGGACCCGCAGGGGCCCAGGCGGCGGCGCCCCTAGTCCTGTCCGCGGGCCCGGGGGGCCCGGGGGAGTCCCGGGGGGGTCCGGGCGGCGGGCGGGCGGCGCTCCCGCGCGGCTCTCGCATCGCGGACGTCCGGCCGGTGCATCCAATGGGAAGGCGGTGTCTGGCCACGCCCCCTGTGCGCGCCCCTCCGCGGTGGGCTTTTAAAGGCCGGCGGGGCGGCGCGGGGGCTCCTAGGACCTGCGCGCCGCCTCCACTGCCGTCGCCTTTCGCCGCCGCCATGCTCTCCGTCCGCGTCCCGCTCGCTACCATCGTGGACCCCCAGCAGCAGCAGCAGCTTCAGCTCTCGCCCCTCAAGGGGCTCAGCCTGGCGGACAAGGAGAACACGGTGAGCACGCGCGGGCCGGGGCGGCGGGGGGACCTGTGGGTCGGGGGCCTGCCCCTCACCGCGCGTCTCCCCGCAGCCCCCGAGTCTCAGCGGGACCCGCGTGCTGGCCAGCAAGACCGCCAGGAGGATCTTCCAGGAGCCCGCCGAGCCGGTGAGTGGCCCGGGCAGCCGGCGGGGAAGCGGCCTGTGGGGGGGGCGGGGCGCTGCCGATAGGGGGCGCCAGCCGCCTCTTGGCGCCAAAGCCTCATTGTCTCCTCCAGGGTTTCAAACCCTAGCCACTCCCCGGCCCGCGCTTCTTTCCCGCCAAGGCATTCCCTCCCTGTCCTTTACACTTCCGCAGATTTCCTCCTGTTCCTCTGTCACATCCCGGTTCTGTTCTCTGTAGGATATACATGGGTGACAGCTGACCCACACGCTGAACCCCCCGGGATTGCCGGTCGTTGAACGCACTAGGCCCGAAAAAATGTCGATTTCATGTGGTTCCCCCTATGATTAGCATTTTCATTACTTTCTCGCCCAACAGAAAACTAAGGTGCTTGGCCCCAGCGTGGAGGACGAGCCACTCCTGAGAGAAAACCCTCGTCGCTTTGTCATCTTCCCTATCGAGTACCATGATATTTGGCAGATGTATAAGAAAGCTGAGGCTTCCTTTTGGACAGCTGAAGAGGTAGAGTCAGGAGCTGGAGACTTAGAAGGAAGTTTAAGCATTGCCCCCAGCTCTAGAGGAAGCCCCCTGCAGTGGTGGTTGTAACTTGCTTGAAATATACTCTTGTTTCTCTTGGGGGTGGTTGGGGATGGTTGCCCACGGAGGACGTGGGATGGGAGGGAGCTGTGCATGGGAGGGATGTTCTTGATCAAGTGGTGTCGGTAGACTTAAGGTTTAAGGATTATGTATGTGTATGTGTGAGGCCCCGCATGCTTAATGTCCCTTGTGAACGTCTAAACTTCAGGTGGATCTTTCCAAGGACATTCAGCACTGGGAATCCCTGAAGCCTGAGGAGAGATACTTTATATCCCACGTTCTGGCTTTCTTTGCGGCGAGTGATGGCATCGTAAATGAAAACTTGGTGAGTTTCCAAAAAACATCTGCTTTCATTCACTTCAAGATTAAAGAGAAAATTAATTCTCTCTCCTCATCTTTTAAATTCTACTAGTTGTAAGCTAGTAGTGGTATTACATGGTGTTGCCTGTTTTATAATATCCTTTGCAGTTCTTTCTTTCCTGTGGTTAATTTTTCCCCCCACTGGCTCTTGAGAGGCTCAAAGACAATGTTAAGTGGTAGTGATAGGTTTACTCCTTGTGGCTGTGACATTTGTGGTTTTGCTATTTTAATAACTTGAGTCTATATACGTCTTATAGTGAGTGGATCCTTCGTGCAGTGAATTAGGAAGAAATGAATTGATGAGTGTTCTTAGGATCCCTATAAAATAGACATTATCTATTTCCTGATCTGTAAGTTGAGCGATATGGCATAAAATGCCCAGCTTTACCACAGAATAATGAAGTACTGTTTCTAAAAATAGAAGCAAACCCTATAATGGTGCAAAGGGAGTGGATCCTCAGTGGATGGTCCTCAAGCTGAACTGTGACGTGTTTTACCACTAGGTGGAGCGGTTTAGCCAAGAAGTTCAGATTACAGAAGCCCGCTGTTTCTATGGCTTCCAAATTGCCATGGAAAACATCCATTCTGAGATGTACAGTCTCCTCATTGACACTTATATTAAAGATTCCAAAGAAAGGTGAGTATTGGGGTGGCCTGCCAACATGTTTAGGACTCAGTGATTGTTATGTTATTTCAAGTTTTTGAGTTTACATAGGGGTAGAAGAAAGACTCTTAAGTGACTAAGCAGACAAAGCAGTTTCTACCACCCATTTTCCCGTCTGCTCTGAGGAAGAGGCCTACACCCACTTTATTAGCAAGTCACTTAAAAACGAAGTTCTGAGGTTACTCCATTTTTAGAAGCGGAAGTATACCGTTGGTCGTTCAATCTAATGCCTTTCTTTGAAAACAAAACAAAACACATCCGAGGAGGCTGTGTACGATGAATGAAATCCTAGGTCTGGCAGTTTGTACTCGTGTGGGCAATCTGTTAACCTACAATGGGAAGCTGGGGCAAAATGGAGGGGTTGGAGGGTGCACCCGAGTAGAACATTACTCTCCTCTTCAAGAGCTCGTAATACACTACAGAAAATCAGACCTAGAAGTGTGAGTGGGAGGAATTCCATAATAAAGCAGAGGCAGCAGTTTACTGTTAGATGAACCTTAGGCACGGGACTGTGTGAAGAGATGGTTTGCATCATGGGATCACAGAGGAGAAATAAAGGTAGCTTCAGGCCCATTGTACATTTTTAAGATTAGAGAGGAGGAGAACGTTTAAAATGGCTGTCTGAGTGGTCTAGATACTGAGGTCAGCTTCAGGATGAGAGTCTTGCATGGAACAGAAGTGGTAGGGCTGGAAGGTAGGCTCTTGTGGGTAACCAGGAAGAATGTGATTTGGGAAAATGAGTCGTGGCTTGGAAGGGCTGGCAGGATTGGGGAGACTGGGGGGTAGGACGATTTGAACACATTTGTAGGCAGAAATGAGGAAAGATAAAGATAGGCATGACCCGGTTAAATAACCAGAAGGGGCAGGATCAGGAAGGTGTGGTGGTTGAGCTTAAAAAGCGAGGGAGAGGCAGGCCCCGGTCTCAGGATGTAGACATGGAAAGAGAATGAAGGGAGCCATGTGGTCTGATGACCTTGGCTTCAGAGAACAAGGTTGCCTGATAAGGAACAGGCTGGGCAATCTGTAGACTCCCAAGCAGGGCACAGGGATACATTGGAGGCAGAAGAGGGTAATAAGGAAGACCCAGGTAAGTGGGGGGGCCAGTTGATTTGCTTTCCTGATCTGGGACCATCAGCGTAGCATAGAATTACGGTAGGAAGCAAGCCCAGATTATTCAGTTTATTGGCTTTAATTGCTTTATTATATATATATGGCATTTGGGGCCCATATAATTGACCTGATGGTAGTCTGGTGAGGAAGGTGCTATCTAGGAAGATAATGGTCAGCATAGCTGAAGTAGTCTTAGCAGTTAAGACTTTATGGCTTCTCAGGTTCAAAGATAGGGCCTGTGAACTTTGTCATGACCTGGGCTTGATACAATTAAGCTGATAAATGCTTTTGGTGTAATGGACTAAGACTTCTAATGTTAGTAGATCTCGGGGATCCCTATGAACTAAAGAATAGGAACCAAGTGAATGTTGAGATTTTAAAAAAGAACACTGGAGGAAAAGCAAAAACAGTAATGAGAAAACATTTCAATTTGAGGCTCAATTTGGCCTTGGCCCCAGTGGTGCTTTCCGGATGTTTGTGATAGGAGGTCTTTGCTGTAACTGCTGACGCTCTGGGTGTCTACTAGGGAATTTCTCTTCAACGCCATCGAGACAATGCCTTGTGTAAAGAAGAAGGCAGATTGGGCCTTGCGTTGGATCGGGGACAAAGAGGCTACCTACGGTAAGGACCCCTCTGGCCCCGCGTCCCCCTGAGCTTCATCCTCTGAGTGACGTCACTGGTCCGTGGCCCCCCCTTGTGCACGTGCTCGGTTGCTCGCTAGACCTATGTCAGTATTAACTCTTCACAGGAGAACGGGTTGTGGCTTTTGCTGCTGTGGAAGGAATCTTCTTTTCTGGTTCTTTTGCGTCGATATTCTGGCTCAAGAAACGCGGCCTGATGCCTGGCCTCACCTTTTCCAATGAACTTATTAGCAGAGATGAGGTGAGTCTAATTCACATAACAGGTTAATGGGCACCCCAAACATCTACAACTCTTGGGTTCACTCATGGGAACTCCAGATAAAAGATTGCCTGATACCCACATTTAACATGTGAGTTCAGCCATATCCATACTTGGCAGAAAATGAAATACTTTAATTTACTGGAAGTACTTGTGTTCTCAATACCTTTATATGTCTGTTGCACCCTAGGTGATGGGGTGTTTTATTCTTTTTGCCCAGTATTCTGTATGACCTTACTGTACTTCAGAGTTGGTCGATAAGCATCCTAGTGAAGAATGAGAATCCATTCTGGTCCAGTTTATGTCTTTGAGTGCACTTGGATTAAACTGGAAGGGCAGGTGAAGATGTCCAGGTGTTCTAATTTAATTCCAGTTGGCAAGGCCAGGGCCATGAACCCTGCCATACTTGGAGCCCAGTGTGCAGATCAGTTGGTCTTGCTTTATAAGAAGCTCTTCCTTCTGTTATAGGAAGATCAGGGTTACTTGGCACTAAGACTCGTAGACTCCATTCACTGGAAATTGTGTTACTGATTTCCCGAGCATTAGGCTGTAAATCTCACAACCAGCTAGCCTGGTCGCCGAGTTTTGCCTTTCCTGCTGGGAATAGTGGCAAAACGGGAGCTCACAGATGTAGGAAGAATGCTTTGAGAAGTCCTACCCCATCCTTGGCTACCACACAGGGCAGCAGGGACCGGACCTGGCCTGCTGTTGTTCCCCAGGGGAGCAGTGTTGAGGACCTTGGGTGCAGCCGAACCTGCCATGACCTTCGCAGAGCAGATGGCAGTTGAAGCCCTCTTCCCTTTGACCGTTGAAGTGCTTAAACTGCTGCCACACAAGGTGTAGGGAGGAGAATGCAGAAAAGGGGAAAGCCATTTCCTGTTTCACTTTAACGATACAAGTCTGGTTCTTTTTTTTTCTTTCATTTTAAAGATTTATTTATTTATTTGTCTGTTTGACAGAGAGAGAGAGACACAGTGAGAGAGGGAACACAAGCAGGGGGAGTGGGAGAGGGAGAAGCAGGCTTCCCACAGAGCAGGGAGCCCGATGCGGGGCTCGATCCCAGGACCCTGGGATCATGACCTGAGCCGAAGGCAGACGCGTAATGACTGAGCCACCCAGGCGCCCTGATACAAGTCTGGTTTTAATAGTGATCTTAAACCTTTTCTTCTAGGGTTTACACTGTGACTTTGCCTGCCTGATGTTCAAACACCTGGTCCACAAACCTTCCGAGCAGAGAGTGAAGGAAATAGTTATTAATGCCGTTCGGATAGAGCAGGTGGGTGTTGCATCAGGGTCTCTCATGCCAGCTAGAAGGTGTCTTGATGCTTCCGTTTTATTGAGAAGCTCTGTTTTGGTCTCTAGGAGTTCCTCACGGAGGCCTTGCCTGTGAAGCTCATTGGGATGAATTGCACGTTAATGAAGCAGTATATTGAGTTCGTGGCAGACCGACTTATGCTGGAGCTAGGTTTTGGCAAGGTAAAGTATTGTTTATAGCCTTCTGGTTCTTCTGAAACTGGTGTTCTGTATTTAAATTTTCCTGTGAACCTTTTCAGGTTTTCAAAGTAGAAAATCCATTTGACTTTATGGAGAATATTTCACTGGAAGGGAAGACTAACTTCTTTGAGAAGAGAGTAGGCGAGTATCAGAGGATGGGAGTGATGTCAAGTCCAACAGAGAATTCTTTTACCTTGGATGCTGACTTCTAAGAGAAATGAAGATGTGCTCTTATTTTGCTGATTTTTTTTCCCCTTTCTCATCCAAAAAAAAAAAAAAAAAAATCAGCTACTTGAAGTGTATCAAACCAGCTACACCATGAATTAATAATGTTCATTAATAGTATTGTTAAAACTGTGTAGCTACCTCATAAGCAAGCCTGTTGATTAGTGATGCTAGTTGTCTCACCTAGAAAGAAGCATAGGCAAAAGCTACTCGGATTCTTAGGAAAGACCTTGGCCGTGTTTGGCTTTTGCAGGCAGGCTGGCTGTCGGTGAGTTCACTGTGGCTCTTAGTGGCAGTCAGGGCTCAACATGTGTGGACCCTGGAGTGAGTCAGATCCAGCAGGATTAATCAGTCAGTTACTCAAAGGCCCTTGGGAGGTCTCAGCCTTGGTGCTTCAAAGCAGATTTTAAAGTTTACTTACTGATTTATATATAAAACTGGCACTTTACATACAAATAAACAGTTTGTACTGTTGAAATAAAGGCCTGATTTAACCTAATTTGGTTTCTAGCCCACATGCAAAGCCTTCTATTGACCACTAATGGGAGCTGGTCTGGAATTTACTAGGTGGCCAAAGTCTGTCAAATCTGTGCAGATCAAGCACGTTATTTCTGTTCTTTATTTTCTAGAATGAATGGATGTGCTCTTTGATCAACTTCAAAGTCAGCCCTGCACATACCTAGGTATTAGCTAGTTGGTGCCACAAAGAAGACAGGTTGTGGTTTGTATTTTGGAGGCCAGGTCGAGTGTTGTGGAATGAGAGCGAGGGGAAAGGAGCTTCTGACTTAAATCATTGGAGCTTGAAGTGTGATGCAGGCTGTCTTCTGGTCACCTGGGGGCGTGAGAGGGGCAGCATCCTCTTATTTTCCCCAACTTCAAGCTCTTAACGAAGATCTTTAGATCCTTAGCTCTAGGATCTGAGAGAATATTGTAAATTGATTTTCCAATCATCCTTGCACAAAATGCCCCACCGAGGATCTTGCTCCAATTAAGTGGCACAACCAGGACTGAAGTTGGCTCCCCGAAAAGCTGAGCATGTATTCCGATTTGGTCGAATTTGTAAGTAGGTACTGTTGCCCCATTTCATTTATATTTACTAAATGTTTTTTAAATTAGAACTATTTTTTTTTTTTTACTGTGTATGTCTTTTTATATCTGTGGTTCATAGTTTGAAATAATTGCCCAGTTAGTGCAGTTCATGATTGAAGCAGATAGAATTCAGTGCAGTTACTTCCAGCATCTGCCTCAATCTGAGCATTTACTTTATTGGATTCCTGACCTTCAGGAGAAAACTTGAGTTGCATGAGCTATATTAACACGTGCTCTATTCACATCGTAATTTTAGATTGATAGTATAATATACTTAATAGGGCTAGTTTGAATCGACCTGCCTTTGTTTCCCCCTGCCTTCTCCTTTCTGGGACACCCCCCCGCCCCAAAAAAACCCAGCCCAGCCATGATGTTGGGTGGAAGGTGGTGGATGATACGCACTGATCCTTTGGCTGCATTTGTTAACCTGTTGTATTGTGTTGGCTGATCACTGGCCTGTTCTATTGTCAGTTTTTTCATTTATTGTATAAATTGTCAAATAGTCAATTTAACAATTTCTGTAACAGGGGCTGTCTATCTTTTAAATTATTGTTACCTAAAGCAAATCCAGATTATGTGGTTCTTACACTTGTGCAACACAAAAGTGAATAAACGTTTTTGCCTCGCATGTCAGGTGCAGGTGGAAGTCGGAAGTCGATTTTAGGATTCGGCCTCCCCGTTAGTGCATTAACGGAAGGATTCATTTTTGCCAACTCCAGTTCCGTTTCCTGATCTGTTTAAAGGGAAGCAGATTTTAGTCAAGCATTTCAAAGTCTAAAAACTGAATGTGGCACAGGGGTTAAATGAGCAGTTCTTATGTCCGTTCCTTGATAAATTAATTTGCATTTCAGTTTAGGAAGAAAAAACGAGAAAGTCTTTTTCATGAAGGTGTATGTGTTCATTTGCTTTTCATCCGTTTGGGGGAGGGGACTTCGCTAATGCCTGAGAGGTGATGAACAAAAGCGTGCCCTGTGCGTCTCTTGGAGTTTGTGGGCCAGGGTCAAGGGGGCTTAACTTCCCAACACCCCTGGGCGAGCCGCTACCCCGCCTCCGTTTTCCCAGCTGTTAAATGATGGGGGTAGGGACCAGATGGGGCTAAGGGTCTTCCCAGCTTTGCTCTTCCTCATCAAATTGAGCTGCGTGGACTTCTTTATGGGCTTGGATTGGCCCCTCTGTCTATAAATGGCCTTTCCTGGCCCACCTTCCTAAAGCCTTTTTGAAATCCTTACCTTGTATACCCTGCCACTTTCGATATGCAGGTTATCTGTGACGACCAGCCGCCGGGCAGGCACCGTTCTGAGGTGTTGGAGGTGCGGCTGGGGGCCTAGCCGTCCCTGTGCAGTTTACGTTCTCAAGGAGGGAGCTGATGCGTGAGTGAACCTGTTAGACAGTGAGCCAGAGCAGGGAACGAGCAGCGGAGAACTTGAGGTGGATGGGAGCATTTAGGAGAGGTGTAGGTGCCGGGGCGGGGGGGTGACCTTGTTTCTCTGTGGAGGAGGAGGGGGATGGGGGGCTAATCCAGATTCCCTCCCTGCTCTTCCTGTAAAGGCTCACGTAGAAGGGATACCCACATCTGTATCCATCCCCGTTTTAGCATGAGGCCCCCAAGGATCAGGCCCTGGTGAATGAGGAAATGAATTGGAGCTGAGTATTTTGGGGTGGGTAATGTCTGGGGAGCAGGTGTGTTCTGTCTTAGAGGAACCTAGCAGAGATCTTTGCCTTTATACCCCAAGGGCTCGCTGAATGTCATTTGATTTATAATGTCAGGTTGATGGCAGACCCAGTGGGGGTGTTGGGGCAGCCATGCTGTCAGGATCAACTCCAAACAGCCTCCCTGTGGGCCCCCTACAGTCCTGCTTCACCTGCCATCCCCTGTGCGAGCTGCCCGCCCTAGAACACGCTTCCCATACTTCACTTACTGGACCTGCATCAGCTAAGTGTGGTTAAGTCACACAGTCAGAATTGTCTGCTTGCCTGTGATCTGACTTGGGTGCTGGCTCCTTGCACAGCTGGAACTGGATGGGTATTTGTTAAGGCCGTCGGGCCAGGGAGCTGACTGGCTGTTCGTGTGCTAGTGCGGATGAATAGCTCTTGTCATTGTTGGTCTGGAGATCCTGATAGTGGTTTAATTCTGCATAGCGATACGGTTCCAGGGAGCGGCTGTAGCTTTGAGGGAACAGAATTGTATGTATGGCTTGGCCTGTTCCAAGAGAAAGCTGACAGCACACCCCATCATCTCCCCTCCCCACCCCCCCCACTTCTGTAGAGGAGGCTACTCTGGTGCACTCTGGGTACTTGAGAAAGAATGTGATCAGTGGTGGCCCCTGCCATTCCTGGGAGCGGATTCTCACATCTGGTTATTTTCTGATAGTAGCTGAACCCGCTGTGGATGTAAGTTTCAGGAACCACAGTCCCCTTGGCCTGGAGTGGTTCCAGCAAGAGAGTAGACTGAGGTGACCTGAACACCCTCCCAGCTTCAAACACCTGCCAGTGATCACGAAAGTTAAGTGGGTATTGATTTCCTAAGAAAGAGGAATTTTCAGATGCTGGGAACAAAGACAGGGACTGGGAAAGCTTGGGCTCATTGCAGCCCTGGGGGTTGGTTATTCATCTCTTTGAGAAATTGGGGGTTGAGGGACCAAATACCCCCTTGGATCTGGAGGGGAGGGATTGACCTGCCCTAGGGGAGGAGCTAGAACCTGAACCTGCTATCAAGCCAGGACCCCCAGTGAAATGGGACTAGGAAATAATCCCACTGGCCAGGTGGGAAGGATAAGCTTGTTCATCTTCCTGGACTCCAAAAATCAAAACCCTAGGGCTGCACCTCTCACAAGTTTGTCGGCTAGGGACATACAGAACCCCAACCTGGGTGCATGTGATTCTCCAAGATGGTGTTCACGTTTACAAATTATGAAACACTGGAGGAAACCACATGGATGTAGGAATAATGGGTGTAAAAATCCAATTGGGTGGCTCAGTCGTTGGGCGTCTGCCTTTGACTCGGGTCATGGTCCTGGGGTCCTGGGATTGAGCCCCGCATCGGGCTCCTGCTTGGGAGGAGGCCTGCTTCTCCCTCTCCCGGCCCCCCTGCTTGTGTTCCCTCTCTAGCTGTGTCTCTCTCTGTCGAATGAATAAATAGAATCTTTAAGAAAAGAAGAAAAAAGAGTTAAAAAAAAAAAAAATCCAAGAACTGGGGCGTCTGAGTGGCTCAGTCAGTTAAGGGTCCGACTCTTGATTTCGGCTCCAGTCGTGATCTCTGGGGTCCTGAGATAAAGCCCCTCAGCCGGCTCTGGGGAGTCTGCTTGGGATTCTCTTCTACTGCCCCTCTCCCTGCTCACACACTCTACAAATAAAGATTTCTTTAAAAATCCAAGAACTTCCTGTTACGATGATAGATGACATAATGGGATCAGAAGGAAAAAAATGAAAACCCTAAGAACAGCGTATTCTAAAGAAGTGGGCAGATTTTTTAAAAACTTCCTACAATTTCTAGGAATATAATAAAACTACTGGAATTAAAGGTTTTGGAACTTAAGAAAAAGATGCTTAGAAGGAGGAGACACAACTGAGGGTGAATTGGTGATGGGAAGGGACCTGATGGAATTATCCAGTAGATGGGAGAGAGATGTGGAGGATGGAAGGGGGTGCATGTTATTTTTAAAGGACATCTTACCGTGAGGGACTGGATAGCTAATGTTTAAAGAGATAATGACTGACAATGTTTTAGAAGTGACTAAGTCAGAAAGTGCAAGGAATCCCAAGTCAGTTAAATGAAAATAAATCCATACCTAGGCTCATTTGTAGTGAATCTGCAGAGCATACGGACAAAGGTCATTCAAGTTTACAGGAGTGGTAGATCTATAAAGGAGTAATTATTAGGCAGAAATTCTCAACAGCACTACAGTCGAAGCCAAAAGGTTATGGAAGCAAATCTTGAGATGCTGAGAAAATAAACTTAATCAGAAGTAAGACTTCAAATTTCATTCCTACCCCCTCTTCAAAAGAAGGACTAAAGAATACACTTTAAGAAGAAAATTGAACCAAAAGGAGGGTAGTAGGCAAAGAAATGGGTAGCTGTGTAGTGAATCTAATCATGGATAAAATCAAGTGGACCCAGGGGCGCCTGGGTGGCTTAGTCGTTAAGCTTCTGCCTTCAGCTCAGGTCATGATCCCGGGGTCCTGGGATCGAGCCCCACATCGCGCTCCCCGCTCCGCAGGAAGCCTGCTTCTCCCTCTCCCACTCTCCCTGCTTGTGTTCCCTCTCTTGCTGTGTCTCTGTCAAATAAACAAAATCTTAAAAAAAAAAAAATCAAGTGGACCCAGAATACTGGACAACGTAGCAGGGAGACAGTGGGGCAGGTCCTCCTGCTGTAAATAAGAGCGGGCTAGCGGGTTCACCAGATCTGTGA